CGCAGCACCGAGCTCCAGGGACCGGCCCGGCGGCTGCGGGGGACGCCCAGCTGTAGGGGTTTGGGTTCTCCTCCAGAGCAACAGCAACATATCAGCGAAACTTGTACAGTCTGTAGAGGACAGCTGAACCAAATCAGCCGCAAAATGCCACAGCCTTAAATGTAGGTAAATCTATGCTCCAGAACACAGAGCAGTTTGACAAACAATAGCATCTTCCCATGCCTAGCGGTGTGAAATATGCAGCTGTTCTACCACCACAATTTGCAGGGAAGGCATTTCTCCTGGAAGTAAGAGAACACTTGGTATATATTCCTAGCCAGACTGATTACCCCTATTTATATCGTAAACTGAGACAGCACGTCCTAAAAAGCCATCTAGTTAAGCAGTTCTAGACTCTGCACCATGGGCAAGGGGTCAGTGCTGTATTGTATGCTGCACAGTCTTCTGCGTTTATTACAGATAGCAGACACTTTTCTGCAGCGTGGCTTTTTTGTGTGTGTGTGCTTATTCTTCTGGTATTTCAACAACCAGCAGGAAGAACACTGCTATTTTATAGGATATCAGGGAACCTGAGAATCTACAAGGTTTTTTAAAGGTTTGGTTTTTTTTTTTTTTTTTAAATAGCAAAGAAGCCACCATGTCACTATATAACAACTGCAATCTGTTCTCGGAACAATAAAACCGCAAGACTGAACACACTTATCTTATATCTGAGCATATACATTTATCCCGAAATGAGATCAGCTGAACAGCCCCTGTTATGTCGATGCAATCTGCACGGTGTTACCTCATTCTCCTCTTACAGACAACCTGTGCAGCTGAACAACTCTCATTTTCTCTATAAGTTACTGATACGGTTTCAACAACCGACAGCAGACATAAGCAGGGGTCTAGCGAATGCTCTCTGCTGTGTCTGCTCAGGAGTCACTGCTGGTCCCACAACACGTGCGCGGTGCCGCCAGGCCAGCAGACCCCGCGAGCTCAGCCGCAAGGCACGGAGCCAGACTTTGCTGGAGCTTTCAGCTGGCTCGCTTATTCCAAAGAGAAAGCTCCTTTTCTAGCAAGATTTGCAGTTTCTTCTTTTTCTCTTTTTAAGCACTGATAAGATGCTTAAAGATGTTGAAGTCGCGAGTTGGTTTATATTCTAATTTTTGAAGGGATAGGTTTCAGCGTGTTACTCTAACAAATACAGGAGTGAAATTGGAAGAGATGGAGATCTGAGCTAACACAATTAAAATTTCTTCGTAAAAACAATCACAGATATCCAGTGCCAAACGCAATCTGGAGTCATCAACTAGCATGGACATGAATTAACCTAATAGCTTCTGAAAAAAATACAGTCCTAAAAAAAAAATCATCCCATTAAAGTAATTAAGTGTTATCAGAATCACAGAGCCATAATTAAACATGGTTTATAATTAAAACAGCATGTGTCCTAGACAGAGAACACAGCAACAAAGAGAGTATAACCGTGATAGTCGATGCCAAAACACATGCCAAGCACCAAAAATCAGAAAACCAGCAGAGTTTCTAGCAAGCTGCAGATGCAGCGCCTCTGCTCTTCTGACTTCGTCGTCAACACTTCTGACAGATGTCAGCGCACTCAAAACTCCTCACAGCTTTGCAAGGTGTTGCCAAAGTTCAAGCAGAAATCTTGGGAACCAAGCACTGCACTGAGTGCAAGACCCAAAAAGCTGAAGCAGTGCCTGCGCTGCACGAACGGGCGAGCGAGCGTGAACTTTCACTCAAACGAGCCTTGTCCTACCTGGCAGCGGCTGAAGATATCTGCCAGGGACACTTGAACGTTGAAGTGCTTCAGAACCTGCAGGGCCTGTTCTTTTGCCTTTTCTGAGCAGTTCACAGAGAAACACCTTCCTTCTGCTACCTGGGACTGCAGCTTCAAAAGACAAGTCATAAACCAAAAAGACAATAAATGAGGCGCTCTGTGCATCATGATCCCCGGATTTTTTCCAAATACATTTGGTTGGGTTTTAATTACAAAGAATATCTGGAGTTAGTATGTGTTTACAGTCTAAATTTTGATTTAACAAGCAAAATTGGTAATTTAACACTCAGCTGCTGCTGCAACAGTTTTGAGACTACGGAAGCACTGAAGCACTGCAGCATTTTATATATATATGCATATACATATATGAAACATGATTGCTTAAGTCCCCTTCAACTTATAATTAAGTGGTATGGTGCTGACAAGGGCAGCAAGAGGAAACTGAATTTAATCCCAGCTTTCACACGAAGCCTGGCCAGATCGCACCCATTATGCAAAAGCACAACGATGGAGGTGATGCCCAATGACAGTTTCACCACCTCAACCCTTCCATTTTATCCACCGTCTCACCTGGAGTTCACTGATGGCCAATGAATTTGCAGTGGTTGATGTGGACAGTCCCTTGATGTTTGCTCCACATGGAGCAGAAAAGTTTGTACCTGGGAACAAGCACTGGGAAGCTCCAGACACATCTTTATGAAATGCTGAGTGCTCACAGCAAGGTGGGATCAGCTACAGGCAAGTAAAGGAGCCTGGCAGGGCCATCCTGTTCTTGCGTTGGGCACACAAAGGAACAGAGGGGACCAGACACTTCCCAGGACAGTATTGTACACTGGGAAGCAGTTCTTTTCCTTTTGCAACTCCTACACGGTACTTTGAAACTAAAGCTTTGCCAAATAAGATTACGCTGGATGCTGAATTACCTGTTACATCAACTGTAGGCTCAAGGAACCACAGTCTGGTTAAGGAACCCTGGGTCACGGCATGGTCACGGCGTGGCTGTGCCTGCCTCACAGTGTCTCATCACGGGGGATGTTTTCTTCAACGCTCAGCTATTTCGTAGGAAATTAGCAACCTATGTTCTTCAAATACTCCAACTAGATACTTGAGTAGTTGGGAGCTTTTATATCGATAGCTTGTAGGCAAAGAAGTCCTGCACTCTGGCTCATATGTGTAATCAGGAATAGTTTCACTCTTCCAAATGGATTTCTGGGCAATGACAAAGTGCAAAGCACCGCTGACTTGACAGGTTCAGTGTATTCCCACCAATGCTCAGTTTTGAACTGCGTCTCACGAAGGGCTCTGAACATCTGGTGCTAAGGGTAAGGTTGGGGTTCGCTTTGGGGTTTTTTTGTGTATCTACAGGAACACAAAAGCTCTACAGCTTCCACTGGGACCTATGCTTGGTGGCTTCCATTCTCTCCCTTCCAAGCCTGAAGAAAAGTCTTTAAGCGTTGAAACTACGCCAGTTTGGAACCTGACAGTAAACAAGAATCTTTATGATAAAATGCATGGGAATTGAACTGCTTTTCACCTGCCAGTGAGGCCAAACAGAAACACTTTGTTCTGGATCGCTTGGCTTGCTTTCCACCTCCCGCCCCCAATGGAGAGCGATCGCTCCCCCCACTGCTGCGGTACTGAGTGTAAAAGAAATTTCACCCCAAGCTTTGGTCATTCCGAACAGCAACCCTCTCAAGAGCCTTAATGTAGTTTTTAGTGGAGAAAACATGAAAAAGCCAAGCCAGCTGTTGCTTTCACATCTGACTTCTCTACACTGCACATCCCAGACCACACAATGATACAATGCCAGAAAAATGCCAGAAGCTCTGAACACTTACAGTCTGATATGGGAGTCCAGAGGTTAAAATGACTCTTCCTTCCTGTCGGGCAATCTGGAAAAAACAGTAAAAATCATAATGAACCCAGTGGAGTTACCACTGAATTCAAGCTTTCCTTTCAGTCAAAGCAGAGAGAACACGAGCTGGTGATATCGAGTCTTTCTCTCCAGTGTCGACATAGATGAGGCCAAGAGTCTCTGGGGCTGGTTCAACAGCACGCTCTCGACAGCAACAGCAGCTCAAGGTATTGCTTGCTCGCTCCACGTCCCCTCCCTGCCAATACCCGCCTTGCCTCACATGTGCTGGAACAAGCTGCTTGTGCATCTGCGCTGCAGATGGCTGGGGGAACCAATCCACCTTGAAATAATCCTATCAAAATCCTTTTTTTTTTTTTTTTCCTTAACCCAGACTATTTCTATTTCCTCAGTCTGGTTCACAAAGCAGCAAGCAGTTCTGCTCGCATAGCAATGCACAGGGGAGAAAGGAAAAAATAACCTAAGCAGGTAATTCCAGCGAAAAAATGTACCATTAAATGTGTCTGCAAAGTTCACAGACGTGAACAGAACGAAGCTCACTCCTCAGAGATAAGACGGTGTTATTCTCCCAGCAGCCCAAGAGCAGACATACAGAAATTATTCCGCCTTTCCAGGCTGCAAAGCACATCTCCATTAGAGTTTATCACCTCCTGCCTTGCACTTTTATCAGAGGTCTTGTCCTTCCAGGGAAAGGTCTGCTCTGAATTATCAGGGGACCCATTACCCGCACCTCTGACCCTCGCAGCAGAGTAAGAGACACTTTCAAATGGTTTGGTGCCAAAAGGAGATACTAAATCTGGAACGGCAATTCTTCACAAGGATGAAAGTGTGACTGATCTTCGTATGATTAAATGACATCCCTCCCTCCCAGCCCTTTGCCCCCTCCTAAAGCAGAGAAACAGCTTCATGGCCGCAGTGACAGAGGGATTCCCACGTGAACCAGCTCTCCAGCTCTGCTCGTGCTGACAAGGGATTGGCACCTCGAGGTAGGCATGAGGTTATTTCTCTGCTCTGGCTTGGTTTCTGTTGGAAGCCCTTGTATTTTTCACTGTTTCCAGATGTGTGTCCCGGAGGTCTCTCTTCTGGATCAGAGTTTCAGAAGCTCTCGCTGGATCGCTCTGTAACCCTGGCAGGAGGACACACTCGGGATCAGAGTCCTGCCGCGCTTTCCCAGACAGTCTGACACCACCAAGCACAGCCAGGGAACACGGAAAAAAACAAACCAAGATTTTTAAACTCTGCCTTGGATAGCTATTCTCTTAAGACCCACTGGACCTATGGCTACAGGAAGCAAAGGGGAGAAGGCTCTGAAGGCACAAACTCCCTGGGCAGTAGACTAGGCAATGATTTTTTTCCTATCTTGACCTTTCAGGTAGCTGCTTCCTTCCCGTTTCAGTCAAGTCACTCTTTGGCTGCCAGTTCTGCACTGAGAAAGTGATTGGCAATGACTTCTAAAGCATCTTCCTACAGGCAAAATTACCGGATTTCTTTCAAACTCAACCCTCTCTCTCAATAAAGGCAAACATCTCCAAGAATAGGAACCCTGAAGCGGCAGCAGAGCCTCCGTGCTGCATGCAGCATGGTCACGGGCCAGCGCTGCCAGCACAGCACACTCGCGGCACACCAGCCAGAGACGTCCGCTACGGCGACAGCAAAAGTTCACCACAGCGATTTGCCAACAAGGGAAGAGAGATGCGGAATTCCTTCAGAGCCATGTGTGCTTCAGGGTAAGCCTGTGGATTTCACAGCTGGAACACTCCATTCTGACTTCCTGCATCCAGGGTTAATTAGTTCAAGCTTGATAAATCCCCTTATCTAAATGGCTCTGCAGAGACAGGCAAAGAACATCAAATAAAAAGAAGAAAAGCAATAACTCTTCCAGTATGCTTTTCCGCCTCTGGAACAACGACTGGGAGAAGCATGCAGAGCCAGAACAGCCATGTCATGACACACATCTGACTGAAACCACGGAGGATACACGCTGGAGAAAAGGGCACAATTCCTTCTTTTCAGGAAGGCAGCGCTGGGACCATCCGGGAGATGTGAGCTAGGAGATGCAATAAAAAAAAAAAAAAAGAACGACCAGAGTAGCATGTTGCAGGGGGGTGTCAGGGACTCGCGCTCCATCCCAAGTGCTGCAGAGAGGGCATTGGCCTTAGTTTCACAAACTATTAAAAAGATAATATCAACTTCCTCTGGAAAAGGCTCAGGCCTTCTGGACAGAAGGCACTCCCTAGGAACTCGGTATTGTTGTTCAGCCCTTACCGTGCCCGTCTGTTCAGCCAACTTTCATCCTGCAGAGATGAACAAACTCCAATGAACTATTACCAGAGAGACCTGGAAGGGCAACAACTGATGAGAGAGGGCTGAGAGAGCTCCCGTGTTTTGAAGCCAGCGCTAGAGGCAGAATGATTCGTGACAACCTAAAGGAACCTGAATTAAGGTCAAAGAAGATTTCAAGGAACAGCAGCACAAGGCTGTAGAATTGTAATTTAAAATTTGCCAAGGCCGCGCGTGACGTGTTGGGCAATGCCCCACGTCCTTGGAGAGGCAAACTGCAGCGCTCCCTTTGCAAGGCAGAGCCCAGGAGAAGCTGTGAGCCCTTCGCGGTGCCAGAGGGGAAGCAGGGACCCTGAGCCAGCTCGGACAACAAGGGAGCGGACAGAAAGCATCTGCTCCAGGATGTGTGCCGGAAAAGCACCCAGCCAACGATCTACTAGAGAAGTAGCAAGTCTCAATCCAAGCCTGAAGCCTCCTACATGTTATCCCAGGCTCTTTTAAAACAGATGGTAAACCAAGAGCTTGATAGCTATGAACACACTCGGTCCAGTCCTGCGGCACACATGCTGTACTGCTGGTATTCCAACCCCGGACTTCTCTTCAGCATTCCTGAAAACCATTAATTGTACAGAGTTATGGCATGATTTCACAATGTGGCTTTAAATACCACACCAAAACCATCGACCTAATTTTGTTTCTTAATGGACATCCATTTGTACTGAGGTCTCCAATGAAAGACATTCTTCTCCTGCTGACCAAACATCAAAAGTCTTGATCTCAAAGGCAGCACAGTTCTTCATCTGTCCTCTTGCGCATTTACTCTGCAGATTGGCGGGGAGGTAGAATGACTAGCAAACCTGAAGAATGTCATTTACTTCAAAAATATGGAAAAAGACATCCAAAGCTGAGATGAGATCAGAGATTAGATTCCTCCATTGTGGGAAGCTCTGCTCACTGCAGTGTTAGAAGCCCCCTTTGTGTCCCATGGCTCCAAATCAGTCCAGGGAAATCTAGATCCAGGCGTGCATTGCTCTAACTGGCTCCTGAGACCTATCCAAGCCTGGCCCTCCTCTCCAACTCACTACTTCACCGGGAGTTTCGGGGGAGTAGGTGCACCCTTGCAAGGGAACCTTCTACACCATGGGAGCTGCAGGAAGCCAGTTCTACCAGCCTTCTGGCTATTAGCACACTTCAAAAGACACGAGTTTTGCCTTAGCGTGCAAATTCTTCTTAGAGATGAGGATGGTTTTGAAGACCAAGAGCAGAGTCCATTAAAAAACACAAAACAAACCAACCCACAACTCAACTGAAGGGGCTTTGAGATTCCACCAAGTCTCTTCTTAGAAATTAGTGACCTAAGAGACTACTAACATTTCCTTGTAAGCTTCTGCTCCACTCCTGAAGTACAACATTGCGAGATCTACTGTAGTCCCTTCAGGCTGGTGGGTGAACCTTTAAGGTGAGCATGAGAAGCATCCCACTGCTCTATCCGAGTCTGCAAAATTGCAGAGAAAAGAGGAACACCCACCAAAACTTTCCCACCTCCTTCCAATTATTATTAGAAGGCCCAAAAGATAGGTTTAATATTCTCTGCAAAGAGAAGTTTGCTGAAGACAAGCTGGAAGACCTGGCTAGAAAGGACATGGACCTGCTAGATGGAGTCCAGAGGAGGCCACGGAGGTGGGCAGAGGCTGGAGCAGCTCCCGTGCAAGGACAGGCTGAGAGAGTTGGGGGTGTGCAGCCTGGAGAAGAGAAGGCTCCAGGGAGACCTTCCAGCAGCTTCCAGTGCTGAAAGGGGGCGACAA